TTTTAGTTGTCTGATTAATTTCTTTCTATTTTTAGTTGTCCGATTAATTTCTTTCTATTTTTAGTAGAGACGGGGTCTAGCTCTTGCTCAGGCTGATTTCGAACTCCTGAGCTCAAACAATCCGCCCACCTGGGCCTCCCAAAGTGCTGGGATTACAGGCGTGAGCCACCGCGCTCGGCCTCCAATTCAATTTTAGATAATTATTTTATAAAAATCACTTCACTTGTGGTTTTAAATTTTATAGTTGTTACTTTCTTTTATATTTTTTCTTTTCTTTTCTCTTTTTTAGAGACAGGGTCTTTTCTGTCACCCAGGCTGGAGTATAGTGATGTGATCATAACTCACTGTAAATTCGAACTTCTGGGCTCAAGTGATCCTCTTGCGTTAGCCTTTCAAGTAGCTAGGACTACAGGCATGCGCCACCACGCCTGTCTAATTTTTCTATTTTTTGTAGAGACGAGATCTCACTATGTTGCTTAGGCTGGTCTTGAACTCCAGGCCTCAAGAGATCTTTCTGCCTTGGCCTCTCAAAGTGCTCGCCTCTCAAAAGTGCATGATCCACCGTGCCTGTCCTATTTTCTTATTTTAAAATTAATAAATACTTGTTATAAGAAATGAAGCCTTATGCAGTTAAATAAAATGGAAAGTGAAGGGCCCCTCTGTGTAACTGTACACAATGTTTTCAAACTTAATTTTTCACTCAGTGATGGTATGTCTTAGAAGCTCTCCATTACAGCACATATAATCTGTTTTATTTCTGAAATGGCTTTATTAGGATTCCATTGTATATATTATTTAATTAGTTCTATATTAACTCTTATGTATGTGTTTAAATGTTAATAACTTTAAAAATAATCTTGTTTTTTCTTATTATGGCAAACTTTTTTAAAAGCGTGGTCCTCAGATGCCTTTGATATTCCTCTACGTAGTTGATACTTGCATGGAAGATGAAGATTTACAAGCCTTAAAAGAATCCATGCAGATGTCATTAAGTCTTTTACCACCTACAGCTTTGGTTGGACTTATTACTTTTGGGAGAATGGTGCAGGTTCATGAACTTGGATGTGAAGGCATTTCAAAAAGCTATGTCTTCAGAGGAACAAAAGATCTGTCTGCCAAACAACTGCAGGTAAACAAGACTGGTAGTTTCAGCCTATCTGTTAACATCGCTCTATATATGTTGATAAATGTCTCCTGGATTTATGTTTCTAGATAACATTTTTATTATGAATGACTAATATAATTGCATTATAACAAAGGCTTTCATTTTAGTGTTGGCATCGGTTTTCTTTTGTGTGCCTTAAATTGTTATCATACTGATTGAAGACCCTTCACTTTTAACTATATCTTTAAAATTTAAAGTGAAACTGAAGCTATTTTACTAGAGATTTAAAGGGTTTATGAGAATCATGGTGAAGGCTAAGAGAGAGCAACCATAGAATATTAACCTTTGTTTCTTGACATCTCACTTAGGAACTAAATACTTTTTTTTTTGAGACAGAGTCTTGCTCTGTTGCCTGGGTTAGAGTGCCATGGCATCAGGCTAGCTCACGGCAACCTCAAATTCCTGGCCTCAACTGATCCTTCCATCTAGGCCTCCCAAAGTACCAGGTTACAGGGGTGAGCCACTGTGCCCAGCTTCTTAAATCCTTCTAGTTATATGATCTTGGGGTGATCTCTTTGCTAATTTTCTCATCTTTCATGAAAAGGGATGAACAATACCTGTTATGCCAGATTGTTATTAGTACTCAAGGGAATAATGTAAGTGAGAATTCTCAGTATAGTGTAAACTCTTACAGGGCTTTATAGCAAAACGGATTAAAATCTTGCTTTGTTACTTACTGGTTGTATAACCTTAGGCAAATTACTTAGTCTTTCTGATTGTTAATTTTCATTTGTAAAGTAGAAATTAAGAAATCTACTTTATTATGATTTTGTGAGGAAATAGTATATATAAAGAATTTAGCCCAGAATCTTGCACATAGTAAATCCTTAGTAAAAAGTTGCTGTTCCTGGAAGGAACTAGGAAATACTGCAGGAATAGTTCAATAATTTTATCTTTGTAGATCTTTAGGCTCTCTGATTTTTCTGTTACATACTTATACTTTATTACTTTATGATTAAGCATTTATAGGTTCAAGAAAACTTTGGCACAGTAACATTATTTTCATATGTCTAGAGATGAATTATGCACATGTCTGAAATTCAACACAAAGCTGGCAGTTTGGTTAGACATTAAGTTAAAAAATTAAGAAGTATACACATATAAGGTATATGTACCTTATAACCCCATTTATGCAATTCCATGTACCTCTCCTTTATCACACTTATTACAATTGCAGTTTTACATTTATTTAATGATTTAATTAATTCCTTTCTGTTTCCAGATTTTAATTTCCATGAGGGCAGGGATTATTTATTTTTTCACCATTATTTTTTTTTTTTTGAGACAAAGTCCGGCTCTGTTGCCCTGGCTAGAGTGCTGTGGCTTCAGCCTAGCTCATAGCAACCTCCAACTCCTGTGCTCAAGCGATCCTCCTGCCTTAGCCTCCCGAGTAGCTGGGACTACAGGCATGTGTGACCATGCCTGGCCAGTTTTTTCTATATATTTTTAGTTGTCCAATTAATTTCTTTCTACTTTTAGTAGAGATGGGGTCTCACTCTTGCTCAGGCTGGTCTCGAACTCCTGACCTTGAGCGATCCACCCGCCTCGGCCTCCCAGAGTGCTAGGATTACAGGCGTGAGCCACCGCGCCTGGCCCTTTTTTTTTTCCTTATTTATTTTTTTCTTCTTATTTTTTTTTTTTAATGGCTTGCCCCTCCATGGTTCTCACATAGAAGGGCAAGCCAATATTCTTGACATATAGTAGGTGCTTAAGATATGGTTTGCTGAAAGGGATAAATGAATATAAATTAAGAAGTATGGGGCCAGGCGCAGTGGCTTACACCTATAATCCTAGTGCTCTGGGAGGCCTAGGTGGGAGGATCAATTAAGATCAGGAGTTCAAGACCAGCCTGAGCAAGAACGAGACCCTGTCTCTACCAAAAATAAAAAAAATTAGGCAGTCATGCTGGCATACTCCTGTAGTCCCAGTTACGGGGGTGGGGTGGGGGGTGCTGATGCAGGAAGATTGATTTAGCCCAGGGGTTTGAGGTTGCAGTGACCTATGATGATGCCACTGTGCTCTGCCCAGAGCGACAGCAAGACTCTGGGGAAAAAAAAAAAAGAAATATGGATGGGCATTTAAATTATACAATAACTTATTTTGACTATTAACGAGAGAGAAAGTATTTCTGAGCTAGTATTCCTCTTTGCTTATATAACACCTTGTACTTTGCTCTCTCATGATGCTTATTTTACTGTATTGTTATTATTTTCCTGATAATCTTTCCACTGGACTATTTTCTTTCTGAGGAAAGGAACCTTGTGTTCTCTATTTTTGTGTTCTTAATGTCTAGTATAGCACCTTGTATGTGGTAAATAGTTGATAAATCTTTGTAGAAATAATTAAATGGGTATCACCCAAATAATTTCTTTACAGGAAATGCTGGGACTCTCTAAAGTACCGGTTACTCAGGCAACACGTGGTCCTCAGGTACAGCAGCCACCTCCTTCCAATAGGTAATAATTAAATATGAGAAAGAGAATTTGACAATTCATGCAGATATTTTAAGCATCCTGTACCCTTAACTTGAATATAGACATTCAGTGGTAGCATATTCTTAAATATTTTTGGGAATATAAATAAATTGCATTAGTGTGCTTTTTAGAGTTGAGGAAAAATTACGACACCGAAATGGTTTGTTTTTCATCATTACAACGTAAGGAGTTACTTAATTTTGATATATTCCTGATTTTCTATTTTTAAATTCAGAAAAACTTAATTTTTGTGGTTTGAGGGCAACCAAGCCAAATAGGGCCTTAAAAGCTTTTTGTCTTCTTACCCTTAGAAGTAGCTTTTTCCCCTAAACTACCCCCCTCCAAACTTTCTAATCAAAGGTAGTATTAAGAAAATTGAGTTGATGTATCTTCTCATAATATTTCAGTAACCTTAAAATTTACTAGATTAGTAAACGAATATAAAGTCCTAAAGTAATACTTAGTTTGAGTGTTTCACTTATAGCAGTGGTACTCAAAGTGTTTCCTGGACCAGCAGCATTAGTATAACCTGGGACCACGTTTGAAATGCAAGTTCTTAGGGCCCCATCCCAGACCCACTAAAATAAACTCTAGAACTGGGACCCAGCAAATCTGTGTTAAGACAAACCCTCCAACTGATTTTGATGTATGTGGAAGTTTGGGAATCACTGGTCTGTTGTGTATTAGGAAAGTGGACAATTTGTTTTTTAAACCCTCACCTACAAACATTTACATATGGCTTTTTACTTAATTTTGTTTTTCAGATTCTTACAGCCAGTACAAAAAATAGACATGAATCTCACAGATCTTCTTGGAGAACTTCAACGAGACCCTTGGCCTGTACCACAGGGAAAGAGACCTTTGCGTTCTTCTGGAGTGGCACTTTCTATAGCTGTAGGACTGCTGGAGGTAGTGATTGGACACTAGCTTCATGTCCTGGAGATAGTGACAGATCTCACAGATTGAAGGCTTAGTCCCACAAGACTGCCCTTTACTTCAGGTGCCAGTTGCAAGTAGTAGGTTGTTACCAGTATTCCTAACTGACTGGCTATAAATCGGGGGTACCCAGGCCTCCCACCTTGGGTTTGATTAATGTGCTAGAGCGGCTCACAGGACTCAGGGAAATACTTTACTTAAATTTAAGAGCGGCAGGATTACAGGCATGAGCCACCACGCCCGGCCTCTAATTCAGTCTTCACACGTGCTTATTATATAGATATTACAGAGAATACAGATGAACAGCCAGATGTTCTATGTGAAGGCTTACAGTGAGAACATGGGAGATAAGATAGTTCACTGGGATTTAATGTTTATTTTTTTTACTTATAGGTAATTTGAAGTTTGGATGTTCTTTGTGTTCTAGTTTTGTGAAAGTGTGTGTGTAGACTTTTATTTGTTCTTGTTCTTCATTATTATTTCAATTTTACATGACTGCTATTACTTCATATACCCAAAATGAAAAGAGTATTTTTGTTTATTAAACTGGTTAAGAAAGTTATAGAAGTAATAGCATATCTTGCGAAAACAATATACAAGGGTACAATACAGATGAAAAGTAAAAAGCAGGTTTCCTTGTTCTCCAGATTTGTAATCATATGATTTTTAAAATTATCATCAAAATTTATATCATTTATATTCTGTTCCAAAGCTAT